AAAAATATCATCATAATAACATTCCCTTAAAGCAGACATTGAATCAAAAAAAGAAAGCGACAATCATATGATTGTCATGATGATTATATTACAAATGAATTGAACATTGATCTTGGTTTGTTGAATGTTCAAGTTGTCTTTTTTAAAGAAAAAAATTATTGTATTATAGAAGTGGGAATTATGATTTACAAGATGGTGGCAATTGATTCCAGCTCAAATAAACTATTTAATTCTTATTCATTGAAGAGTTGTGGTGATTTACGTTTGTTGAAATGATGAATTGGTCATTGTTAGACTACCATTAGAAACCTAGAAGCGCTGGACGAAGGTTTTAGCCTAGTATCAGATTACTCAGCAGTGCGCATCCTTAACCCTCAATCGCGTGAATCGAACTGCGTACCTTCAGTGTTGCAGGTGAACGCGTAACCTCTAGACCACTGAACTAGCCTCAAACGGTGTTAATAGTCAACTTTAGTCAGTCCACAGTATTGTACAACCTCATCCATTGTCTTTAGTGAGTAACTACTTCACATCTGACACGGACTGATCTCCACTGATTACAGCTTCTCATTGAAACTCCAAAACTTTCCTCACGATGCCAGTCACAAGTGGGCACACTGTATGATATTCATTAAAGAGTTGTAGTGGTTATTGTTTTTTATTGAACTGATGAATCGGTCATTGTTAGATCTTTATTAAAAACGTAGAAGCACTGGACGAAGTACTCAGCGGGGTGTGTATCCACAACTTCCACTGGCATGAATCGAGGCCAAAACTTTCAGTATCATACTCGAACGCTTAACATCTAGACCGCCAAGCCAACTTCCAACGGTGTTATTGTCAAACTCTAATCAACCCAAGGTATGATTCGACCTAACCACTTATCTTCGGTGAGCAACTGCTTCATACTTAACATCGTTCAACTCCACTGGTTACAGTTTCTCTCTAGAACTCTAAGAATTTCCTGACGATGTTATTCATTAGTGAGCACGATTTTATGATATTCATTATAGAGTAATGGATATAATTGTTTTTATTGATTGAATTCGTGAATCGATCGTTGTTATCTAGTTTTATTCTTACACATGAATAAATCAGCAGTTAATTTATTCGTAATGAAATATTCCATTGAAATATTTAATGATAGTTAACTATACAATGTGTTTTAACATAATCAATAATCGTTAATGAAATTATTTATAAAGTATATTTCTAAGGAAATATTTGTTAAGTAAACTGTAGGGTTCGTCACTAGGTACGCTTGAAGCTATTATGAGTTCACCTTAGTCGATAAAGGAGAACGAGACAATTACCAACGTCCAGATAGGCTACCTTGAATCCCAAACTGTAAAACAGAAGTCTTGATAAGCGTAGAAAGTATATTCTACAAACACCCAACAACTCTCGTTTATTTATGTATCATAGAAACGTCCTTGAGACAGTTACGAAAATAGCACACTAAAATACACAGCAGCCAATCACAGCCATGGATTTTCCTGGTTGGAAATGAAATCTCAAGGTCAACTGATCAGCCCATGCTGGCAAATGTGAAATCGAAAATAAGTCATTTATCAAGCGAGTTTTGGGGATATAACATCGACAACATAAAATTCAAAAAAATGCTAAATAAATATTGTTCAATAATTGTGAAAGATGTTGCAAAGCGTTTTTGTAGATTACACGAAAAATAAAACTAAACAAATTTGAAATTCATTTGAATGATTTCATCAAATTCTAATCTCTGTTTTTTTTGCGATACAGCATTATGTTGATCGTTGTTCTCTACATTGAAATCATGAGTGAATCATTGTTAGACCATGGTTAAACAGCTGGTAGAAGCACTACTGATGAGTCCCATACCAGGACGAAACGGCCGTTCAGTAATTGGAGGTTTCTAAAGGTGGTCTGATTGTGATTCATTCAGTATTTCAATGAAAAACATTAATCTCTATAAATCTATAATGAATATCATAAAATATGCTCATTTGTAATAAAATTTGTTAGGAAATTTCCTGAGTTCTAGTGAGAAGACGCAACCAGTAGATTTCAACCCTATTGGGTGTAGGCAGTAACTGCCAAAGCAAGTGAGTGAAGTTTCGCAATACCATGGGTTGATCGAATTTAGATATTGGCCCCGTTGTATGCCGACTCAGCGATGGTCCAGAGTTTAGGCGTCTACGCACCACACCAAAGGTCCTGGGTTCGAATCCTGTGAGTCGTGGAAGCGCACTACTGATGAGTTCCATAACAGGAAGAAACGGCTGACCAGTGCCCCCAGGTTTCTAATGATGGTTGAACAATGATTCATTCATGATTTTACTATAGATCCCTGTTTTAAAGTCGAACATCAATGAACAGTGGATTTGTATGATTTTTAGAAATCTTGGTATTATAAACTCATGAATTAAGAATAAAAAGTATTTTCACGCTGCTTAGAATACATGATCGTTGTTCAATAAATGACTTGATAAACGTGACAAACAGAAAACTAATTTCATCGATAACAAAACACATCATCGAAACTGGTGGATATAGGTTTAACATCAAAACAGACTTTAAAACATTGTATAGAAATATTTAAGGACAAACTTTTTAGGTTAATGAAAACCTTGATTATTCATAAATTCATATCTCCCCCTTCTGTGTACAAAAACAATTTGTGATAACCTTGAATTTATCCGGTTAATCTGTTAACCATTTTTATGACCTTGAGTAATGTGTTAATTTCTTATTGTTTTAATAATTTGTTAATTTTTGCTGACTCTCTTTTTTAATTTACAATTATCAGTTTTTGTTCATTTGAACTTTTATTTAATAATTTTAAATCAAGAATCGATCAGTATTAGACCATGATTAGTGTAGCGAACGAGAACACAGGTGGGGCAACCGAATTATATTTAACGAAAATTACAGAGTTACTCAGTAAAATAGGAAAACCATATCGTAAATCGTTCACTTGCAAAATATCAGTTCATCATATCGAACTGGAATGTTCCTGTTGCAAAATATCAATCCATTGTCACTACTATTCATGCGTTTCATACAAATTCCATTGTGTTCTTCTAACTCTTCCTTTCTTGATCTTCCCCCATCTTCCGCTGCCAGACATTACGTTGACACTCACGTCATATACTACTTATAAGTAGCTCACACCACATTAGGAGAAGCCTAGAAGCACTGGATGGCTATTTCGTCCTGATATGAGACTGATCAACAGTTTGCATCCAAGATTGCCGCAATGCCCAGCATTCGAACCTAGGAGTTTAGTTATAGAGGACAAATGCTTAACCACTGGACCACTGTGTCAACATCCAATGGTGTTAATATCTAACTTCAATCAATTAACAAGTGATTATCCTCATGAGGAAATCCTCAGAGTTCTAGTGAGTAGGCGTGACCAGTAAAATTCTATCTGTGTGCAGTTTGAGGCAGTTACCCACCGATGGCAATGGATGAGATCGAATAATACTGTGATTTATCTGAAGTTAGACATGAACGCCGTTGGATACATTGACATATATTGTTCGAAGTGTATGGCACAAATATATCACAGTTTTCAGATCAACTACGTCCGACTCCAGTTTCAATCAATTTTATGTATCATATAATCCATTTTCAGCCAATATCGTTCGTGTGTAAGGCGAAGTGAACCGCATCAAGTTCATGATACTGTATTTAATACTGTGTATAGCACACGGATTCTTAGAATTATAAAAGGGAAAAATGTAGAAATTTCATAGAACCACCTGAAGACAACATGCATTTTAAAATTCTGGATCCTGTGAATAGAAATTTTAGTCTTTTTTCCTACTTACTTTAGTATTTGACACATTGTTAGACCACCATTGAAAACCTGGAAGCACTGCAAGACGGCCGTTTCGTCCTGATATGGGACTCATCAGTGGCAGTGCGCATCCATGACTCCTGCATCTCGCGGGATTGGAACTCAAGACCTTCGGTATTGTGCGCGAACGCCTAACCATTGGATCACTGTGCAGCCGGCATCTAACAGTGTTAATGTCTAACTCTGATTGATCTAGGGGGATTTCGCATGACCTTACCCATTTAAACCTGACAGATTGTTTTCTTTCGTTACCATAATTGAAGATTTTTCAATATTTTTCAATATTTACAGGAATCGTACAAAACTTGATTCTTACCTAAAATCAGTTTCCTGTTCAACTCAATCACAGGTTCGAGAGTATCTTGTTTGTTTTTTTGAAAATCTAATTGATTAATCATTCCACATCATATACAGATTGTATAACAGTTTATACAATACTAAAATAATATTTCATAGTTTGGAAGAAAAAATGCGTATGTACAGTGTGCAGTTAATAACTCACGTCTCGTTTTAAATGATCGGTTGAAAAATAATTGGACATCGAATTGCTAACAGATATTCAATATAAAATTATGATATCATAGATCGATTATTGTTAAACTACCATTAAAAACCTGAAGGCACAGGACGGTCGTTTCATCGTAGTATGAGACTCATCAGTAGTGTACACACGCGACCCTCGCACGGACGATTCAAACCCAGGAACTTCGATTTCGTATGCGAATATTTAATCGCTAGGCTACTGAGTCCCCATCAAACGGTGTTAAATCGAATTTCCGTCAATTCACGAACGTATCCATTGCCTTCATAACCCATACAGATTGAACTTTATTGGTCACGCCTTCTCACTAGAGTTCTGAGAATTTCCTCATGAAGCTAGTTACTAGTGGATTGATTAAGGTTGTACATTAATCCGGTTGCATGCCAACTCAATGTTCTGGAGGACCAACAGTCCTGGTTCCGATTCACGTGAGTGGTGGTCCTGGATACCCGCCGTTGATCAGTAGAACTAAAATGCCGTCTCATGCTTGCATGTTTCTGATGGTTGTCTAACATTGATAAGTGTCCACGCCAAGGAAGAATCGGTCCTGATGGTGTCGCTTTACCCGATATTCCATTCAGTAATGAGGCATATACATTTGTAAAAGAATTGTGCATGCAACATAACGTCGAAATTAAGGTGGAAACAATCGATTGGGTAGGGAATTTCGTTGGATCGATTTTCTTTGACAACCCTTCTCCATCTAATAATAGCCCAGACACTAACAAGTCGTCCAGAAAAAAAAAGAAAAAGAAGTCTACGGAAATCACTGCTGTCAAACAAAAAACACATCTTAGTGTCTTACTAATATCTCAAGGCTTTGGCATTGTTCATCGAGCTTTCACAACTGAACGATTACCTCACTATCAAGATATGATAAAGGCAGAAGAGGATGCTAAACTTAATCAGTACGGTCTGTGGTCATGTGAAGAGTTCGTGAAAGAATGGGAAGCTGAAGTCCAAAAGAATGCAGATCCTACTGCTCTCAGCGGCACAGAGGATAGCAATCTTAATTCATTGACTGATTTCTCGGAATATTTGGATGAATTGTCAGAATTACCAATTAACGTACATGGCGATTCAACAGCTGTGATCAATGGTGAAAACACTAAGCAGTTATCATGGAAACCTGTTCAAATAACCGGGCTCTCCAAACCTGCTGGTAGTTAGGGTCTTCGATTCTTTGCTCAACACTTGTCAGATGCGTGTACTCTGGTCAAGATTAGTCAAATGCTGAACAGTCAATCATTCCCTTCGTTTCCATCGGAATACTATCCTAAAAAAGGCAGTACGTGTATTGCTTGTTTCAGTCTAGATAATTTCTGGTAACGGGCAAGTGTTCTTCGTAGTTCACCCAAATCTGTTACAGTCCAGTTTATTGACTTTGGCAATGAAGAAGTGATAGATGCAGCTGAATACTCATCACGTCTTTCTCCTCTTCCATCTGATCCACTGATGCAACTTCCACCACAAGTGAAAGAATACCGTTTGGCATTTGTCCAACTTCCTCCCGATACATCCGATCGTGTCTTTGCAGAGCGTACTTTTTGCGACCTCGTTGAAAACCAAGAAGTACGACTTGTTGTTCAGTACGAGTCAATGCCGTGTGGAAAGGAATTAGTGAAACCTGTCCTATCGGTGACATTGTTACTGCCAGTTGCAGACATCAACACATCTGGATCATCTGTCTGTCCAAATAACATAGATATCAATGAGTCATTGTTGTCTAATGGTTTAGTGTTTGTTGAACCGATCCAACCTCAGTTATTATTTAAATGATGAAACTCAACAATCTTCACAACCCTCCACTTTAAATAATTAAAATAATCACACGTCTAGTCCCAACATTTTCACTAATAACTACACTGTTTGATTTGTTTTTCGCTGATGAAATTTGAACCAGACACCCTAAAAACGGAAACATTGAATTTATTATTTTTTGTTTATTTCAATCCTTTTCCATTTCACGAATTGAATTTCCCACATTTTCGTTTTGTAAATAATCAAAATAAGATGTTTCTTACATTGTTTACCAAGTACATTGTTTTTTTAATTAGTTCATGAATGAAGTAGAATAAAAAAAAATTCGTGATTATTTTGATTAAATTTTGTTGAATTTATGAAAATAATGTGATTTGTTATTGTTGTTAGGTTTTAGTGGTATTTACATGAAACGGTTGTGGCGATTGTTGAGAGTTACTTTTAGAAAGCATAAATCAATGATTGTTAGATTAACATTACAAAAACCGGTAGGCACTGAAAGACGGCTGTTTCATCATGATATAGGACTCATGGGGGTTCGAATTCTGTGAGTAGTAGGAGATGTGGATGTGCACTGCCACTGATCACGTCCCATACCATGACGAAATCGCTGTCTTTCAGTGCTTACAGGTTTTTGTAATTGTAGTCTAACAATTGTGGTGGTGTTTGGTTCTCTGAGCTGGATGTGTTTTGGTTGTTGAGCCTTAAACAACATCATCACAAACTTCCGATAGAAGTGAAGTATTAGAATTTCTAGACGTTTGTCTTGTAGCTTGTTCTGCTAACCTCGATCTTGATTGGTTGCTGTTGACCTTCGATCTGTTGTTGTTTGCACATTTGTTTTGATTGTATCCCCCTTTTTGATCGGTTTCTTGATCCTACGTCGTATATGATTTTTCTGACTGGAAACTCAAGTATTTCGAAAGCCAACCCACACAGACGTAATTCTCAACTACGGTAGCAACAACACAGGAACCAACAAAATCAACTGCATACGAACTTTGTTCAAGAGAGTGAGGACACACTGCAGCACATATGAAGCACTAAATAAAAGCAAGGAAAAATATCTTGTGATTATCTTCCAAAAGAATGGCTATCCAAGCAACTTTATGGTGTACCAAAATAAACGTGTTCAACATTTCTTGTTCTCCTTCTGATTTATAACCGTCAGGCGCTACTTAATGACGATTGCCTAGACGAACGAATTAAGAAGTTTAAGAACAGGTTGGATATCAACCGTCACGAGACTAGTGATACCTTGAACACCACAACATCAACCAAAATCATCAACAGAAGCGAAATCATGTACAGGAACCAATAAACGGATCATCCTACCATACATAAAAGACATATCGGAGCATTCAGCACGACTACTGAAACCGTTTGGAATAGGTGTTGCACACAAACCAACAGGATCACTTCAATCAATCCTATGTAGACCAAAGCACGAAATGACTAAGGAAGAAAAACCAAATATCATCTACAAAATTAACAACTGCTCAGACTGTGAAAAACACTACATGGGAAAAAGTGGACGGCCTCTTCAGCTTCGTTTACGTGAACACCAATTAGCAGTCAAACGCCACGACAACGCTTCGCTTATATCAATACATACCGACAATTATGGACATACATTCAATTGGGACAATGTGGAAATACTGAATAGGTGGAGGACAAAGAACTCTAGGGAATTTTTAGAAGCTTGGCACTCAGGTCAATCAGCAATTAACAAACACATTGAAATTGACACAATTTATCAACCAATCAGGAAAGTCATAGGTGCCGATGAGTCCCATACCAGGACGAAACGGCAGTCTTTCAGTGCTTCCAGGTTTCTAATGGTGGTCTAACAATGATTGATTGATGATTTCAAATGCGTAAAAACACAAATATCCAAAGCTCTAACTGAAAATATCGTAACAGTACTCACTAGTGACTAGATTCGTGAGGCAATTCTCGGAGTTCTGGTTGAGAAGACGTGACCAATGAAGTTCAACCCTGTCGGGTGTAGGCAGTAACTACCAAATACAAATAGGTGAGATTACGCAAAATCCCTAGATCAATCAGAGTTAAACATTAACACAGTTAGATGCCGGCTCAGTGGTCCGATGGTTAGGCGTTCGCGCACAATACCGAAGGTCCCGGGTTCGAATCCTGCGAGGTGCAGGATTCGTGGATGCGCACTGCTGATGAGTCCCATACCAGGACGAAACAGCACTCCAGTGCTTCCAGGTTTCTAATGGTGGTCTAACAATGATTGATTGATTGATTGATGATTTCAAATGTGTAAAACTACAAATCTTCAAAGCTCTAACTCAAAATAAAGATGCAATCAGCGGCAGATTGAAGGTCAACAGCAACCAATCAAGATCAAGGTTAGCAGAACAAACTACGGGTCATACGTGTGGAGAAATTCGAATACTTCACTTATTCTATCGGAAGTTTGTACTGATAATGTTGTGTTCAGAACAAGAACAACTGTAGTGTGTCGATTTACTGCATGTTCCTAATCTTCGTGATTAGCTCGCCCAGTCAATCGTCACTAACTAGCGTCTGATGGTTAAAAATCAGAAGGTGAACACAAAGTGTCGAATACATTTATTTGGGACACTCCATAAAGCGAATCGGAGAATCGGTGAATAAAACGAATGAAGCGACGTGAATTGGAGAAGGCTAATGAGCCAACTCCCAGAGACAGACCATGACTAAGAATATATAGTCAGACAAATATAAGACAGACAGGCGACAAGCGAAATAGGCACACATGAATAAAAGTGACGAATAGTTGACAAGGTCAAATGACAAGTGGGACACGTCATGTGAGCTCATACCCAAACCAGACAATAATAAGAACGAATGGTACATACAAATTTTTGCAATTCAAATGGCTTGGTTAAATAAATTAATCGAAAGGGCTAAACCAAGTTAGATGTAAGCGAACTCGAATATATGTGGAGGCACTACACTGTGAAAGCTCCACAACCAAAGCAACATCCAGCTCAGAGAACAAAACACCAACCTACAATCATCCGCCTGAGCTAGAAATCTTCTCCACTATCTCAAAATCATACGTAGTTGTTGATTCATAGTTTCAAAAAAGAATGATTATGATAGTGAAACTATTTACAGAATAAAAATTTCTTGACATCCATAGACCATGACCGTTTGTATTGCTTTTTTCATGTTCATGTTAGCAATTATAAATTTGTCGCAGTAAAATTAACATTTTTAACCAACTAGTACTTGCAAACCAAATACCTTTTCTTAAAAAAAAACAGTTTTTCATTAGTTTCCTTGTGACGCGTTTTTTTCAACCAATTCATTAGGGGTTACATTTTTATTTTGTGTAATGATGATAAGAGTGGCATTGTTGTGATCTTATTTTTTTTTATGTAAACGAAGCCCCATAAAACACAACAATATGCATTGATAGACAGATAGACATACAGACAGACAGAGAATGAGAGAGAGACAGGGACTGGGACAGACAGGCGTAACATTGTCTATTGTACATATTTTTTTTATTTTCAAAAATGACTCTCAAAAAATTGCATGAAATGAAATTTCTCCTAAGTACAGGACATCATAAAGGTATAAATTAGAAGGATGAGATATATGTTAACTCAAGTCTATATGATTTTAAGCGCGCAAAAAGGACAGTTAATATAGTGTATTCCTTAAACCGAACCAGTAGTAGAATCAAATTCACCAGACAATATAGCATTAAATGTCGGATATGAAATTTTTAAGGAATTAAGTTAATGTTAGGGACGTTAGATCACCAGAACTCACTTGGAGAAGGTCCTAAGTTTGGATTTTTTTATGTTTTCGTGCATAAGTTGCTTAGTTGACCTTGAGGTTACATTTCTCATTAGGAAAATCCTTGACTGTCATTGGTTGATGGATTGTTTTGGCTCTCTCAAGGACGTCGATTTGTGTGCTTGTCGACTTTGTATTTTCTTGGTGCTTGTGGAATACACTTTCTGTGCCTTATAAAGACTTCTTGAGATAGTTAGCCGTGCCGGGGACAAATGGATTGAAATAGCCTATTCGTGTCACTGATTCACAGTTTACCGAATAAAGTGAACTCGTAATAGCATTCAAGCATATCACTTGACGAGCATATCAGATGTATTTAAGACGTACTGTAGCCAGTCGACTAGGTATATGAAACCAGGAATAATGACAACTTCTCATTAACTAAATATATATTAATACGTATACAGAGATTTTAGTATCATCGAAATCATGACTTGATCAATGTAGGATAACCATAAGAAGCCTCAAAGCACTGAAAGATGGCCGTTTCGTCCTAGTATGAGACTCATCAGCAATGCTCACCTACAACCCCTAATCTTGATAATCGAAACCATCGATCTTGGGGTCGCGCGCAAACGGTTAACCTCTTGGACAACCGAGCCGGCATTCAACGGTGTTAATGTATGGCTTTAATCAATCCAAGGTATTAAGAAACCCAACCGATTGCTTTCGGTAGGTAACTGCTTACATCCAACAGAACTGAACTCCATTGATCAAGATTTCAATAAAGCTCAACAATCTTCACAAATTTATATTGAAAATTTCAATATCAATCGGACAGTTTGTCAACAAATGTCATGTGGATTGATATTAGAATAAATCAAAATACATTTTACATCGAATTATAAATTAAATCCATCCAACATTAAAATTAGTGCGAAGAAAGTATCGTACGAAACAAACATCACAATAGATTGACATTTGAATACAATTTTTGATCTTATTTCAACTAATTCATTTTCTTGTTCATGTTGGCGATGTTAGATCCCCAAAACTCGCTTGATAAATGCCTTATTTTCGATTTCACGTGTGCGAGCATGGGCTGATCAGTTGAACTTGAGATCGAATTTCTCACCAGGAAAATCCATGGCTGTGATTGGCTGCTGTGTATTTCAGTGTGCTATTTTTGTGACTATCCAAAGGACGTATCTATGATGTTTTAAAAAACGAGAGTTGTGAGCTAAATTGGATTGTGCTTG